TGCAGCCCGAGAGGAACATTACACATATCCACAGTATTTTACTGTATATCTATGGGCTCAGAACAGTCTCATAATACACACATGCACACAGAAGGATTCACACTTGTATTTCATGATCCACACTTGTGTTTGTCAATGCACACACAAATGTGTTCCGTTTCAAATACATGTAAATAAAATCCAAATACAGAAAAAAGTTTTAAATATGTATTTTTGATCCTCACATATTTGTTTTCCGTTTAAAACCTCTGCACCTGCACACCCGCTTTCTGTGCATGGATCGCTGTGCATTCGTGTGTGGGTTTTTTGAGACTCCCCTGACGGTCACCCGATTCGTACTTGTAATTTTTTCTATCTATAGCCAATCAGATGTCTCCTCAATTCTAAGCCAATCACATGAGTGCGCCCCCACGAGGGTAGGTTTCTTGCGTTTATGACGTAGCGCTTCATGTACGCATTTTGCGCTGTCCGGAGCTGACAGGTCCATGGAGCCTGCCTGCAGGCGCTAATCTCAGGACACTTCCACTCTCAGTACATTGCCACTTTCCGAGCAGGAAATGCACGCAAATACAAGCCTTTATATTATTAAGGTACAGTGCCACTTTCCGAACCATTTATGAATGCTCGTGTACACAAAAACGGCAGGCAAAACCGTTTTAAATGTGTGTTTCCTGTATGACGAATACAGCTGCTTTATTTATGTCTGTATGAAGTTGTTGTGAGTGTGGAGGGAGCAGCTACAGGTTAGCTTAGCCTAATCGATCAGTGCACTACGAAGCCAGTGCTAGACAGTGAACTGTCAACGTGGGGAGCCCCGCCGGTCATTATCGGCCGATATTCACTCTTAATAGTTTGATCGGTGCTCTCTATAAAGGCCGATCAGGAGAGCTGGATCTGATCGATATGGACATAAACGCGAGTGAAGTTTTAGCGAGCTGCATGAGAAACTGACGGGCTGTCAGGAGAGAGGGAGGGAGAGAGGAAAATAGATGATCCTTACTCCCGTGTTATTAGCCATATCCGGTCATAGTCCGGTAATTACCTGCTAACGGAAACTCTGCTACACAATTCTTCTTCTTCTTCTTCTTATTATTGAAACATGACCGGTAAGTTTCAAATTTGTCCGGTAAAATAAATTCTGTCTGCGGAAACCCTGCTCCGGACAGCGCAAAATGCGTATATGAAGAGTCATGAACGCAATAAATCATACCCTCGTGGGGACGCGCTCATGTGATTGGCTTAGAATGAAGGAGACATCTGATTGGCTATAGATAGAAAAAATTACAAGTACGAATCGGGTGACCGTCAGGGGAGTCTCAAAAAACCCACACACGAATGCACAGCGATCCATGCACAGAAAGCGGTTTGTGACTGTTCTGAGCCCATATATATCTGTATAGTTCAATGTTAATTGACAATAAATATTGTTCTTTTTGAATTGTACTTTCTTTATTTGATTGGCAGTCAGTTGTAGATTACTTGCAGACGTTGATAAAGCTACAGGCTACTAATTCATAAAGCAAGTTAGACATTTTGATGTTCCGGACCTTTGCATGGGGAGATTTTCTCTAACTGGACCTCGTTGAATTTTAGTTGAATACCCCTGACATATAGCCTATCCCAAAATCATGTCAACACGCTGAAGAGCTGTGTCCAAATTTCCGACAAAGAGTGCACTGAATGGACTTGGGAACAAAAGCTCTTAGTGAGTGACTAATATGATCCAAGAATACTTTGTCAGATGGATTATTGATTAAAATGGCAACATAAGATCTCGTTGCATACCTTTCTTTGTATTCATCCCGAATGTCCTACCTGTCTACAATGCTGATTTGTATACTTGCATTGTCAATATTGGTTACTCCATCAACAATGCACTTTACTTGAGCTCTTCTATTTAGTGAAAGACAGACATCCAACAATGATTAATCCACTTAAATCATCAAATTGCTTCTTTGGTGTAAAATTCCTACGTGATTGTTCATACAGCTGAGGATCTTTTCTCGCCTGATCTGTCAGTCGCTTCTCAAAGCCATCCATTGCGAGCCTACTGTTTTTAACCTGCTCTGCCAAAGCAGGTACAGCGTTGTTTCCATCTGCGTGGCAACAATAGTGGTCTTTACAGCCAACCAATTCAAATCAATCAAAATGACGTCTGTGACCTAAGAAGTTTTGAAACAAATTTGTATGTGTGGTCTGACTTATGTTTGTCCCCATAGACCAGTAAGTGGCTAAGTGTGTGTGTTGTGTGTAAACAGACCTCATAAATACAACTGACCCCATAGACCAGTAAGTGGCTAGGTTTGTGTGTTGTGTGTAAACAGACCTCATAAATACAACTGACCCCATAGACCAGTAAGTGGCTAGGTGTGTGTGTTGTGTGTAAACAGACCTCATAAATACAACTGACCCCATAAAACACCAAGTGGCTAGGTTTGTGTGATGTATGTAAACAGACCTCATATATACAACTGACCCCATAGACCAGTAAGTGGCTAGGTTTGTGTGTTGTGTGTAAACAGACCTCATAAATACAACTGACCCCATAAAACACCAAGTGGCTAGGTTTGTGTGATGTATGTAAACAGACCTCATAAACCCAGTTGGCCCAATATACCACAATTTGGTCCCGGCCCCATAAGCCTGTGAAATGTCACATATTTTATATTTATTATATTATGTATGTTCTGAAAGTGACATTTTTCTTTTGAATTGGAAATTGTCTTCTGGGGTTCAGTGGAAATATTTTACCTTATTTTTAATATGACAGGATGGTGGGAAAGGTATGTCCCTATAAACCACTGAAAAACCCCATTGACCTTGTAAACCACATATGCCTGTATGTGTGTGTGTGTGTGTGTGTGTGTGTGTGTGTGTGTGTGTGCGTTGGTGCGGCCGGATTATGAGGACAATTCGCATGGATACACACCAGCATTATAAGGACATTTCGACTTGTGAAGACAAAACTGGTGTCCTCACAAGTCGCGCAGTGTAGAAGCACTTATCAACATGTAAATAAAACCCTCCCGCTTTTTCTCGGTATGTCCTAATAAACCGCCTACACCTGATTTCTCGTGTATATTTGTGTGTGCTCGTAAAACACTCGTATAGCCGATTCATGATATTGCAGTTTCATACACATTTCCCTGTCTTTTTACACAAAATAAGCGCTTTTCATTGGCTGGACACACCTGCTCACTGATTGGGCGGCTAAAGACTCAATCAGGCAGGTTCCCATCAGGGATTGGCGAGCAGTCATCACGCGGGCAGGTTCTCATCAGGGAGTGGTCTTTCAGTATTCGGTCATTGACTCACCAAGAAACAGTAGCAGGAGTACATGGCTGAGGACATTGCTGATGGCAAAGTGGCTTTTAACCAAAACTGGTAAGTGATATTTGTATCATGTATTTGAAACAAAATATAAGGATTTAAATGTTTGTTTGGTGACTAGCTACAACCTAGCATCAAAACTTCAGCTGTTCGTTTATGACTTTGTCCGGCTCAGTGTATCGCCATGAGGCATACTGTTTGGTGGCTAGCTACAACCTAGCATCAAAACTTCAGCTGTTCGTTTTCCGGCTCAGTGTATCGCCATGAGGCATACTGTTTGGTGGCTAGCTACAACCTAGCATCAAAACTTCAGCTGTTCGTTTATGACTTTGTCCGGCTCAGTGTATCGCCATGAGGCATACTGTTTGGTGGCTAGCTACAACCTAGCATCAAAACTTCAGCTGTTCGTTTATGACTTTGTCCGGCTCAGTGTATCGCCATGAGGCATACTGTTTGGTGGCTAGCTACAACCTAGCATCAAAACTTCAGCTGTTCGTTTTCCGGCTCAGTGTATCGCCATGAGGCATACTGTTTGGTGGCTAGCTACAACCTAGCATCAAAACTTCAGCTGTTCGTTTTCCGGCTCAGTGTATCGCCACGAGGCATGCTCCCCATCACGTTTCGTGTGTTTAAAAAAAGCAATAGGATGAAGTTAGTTAGTTAGTTAGTAAGTTAATCCTACCAAGACACTGCATTTTACTGGAAACGTTACATTAACCTTTAGCTCTGCTGTCAGTTAGCACAGTTTAGCTTAGCATCAACCACATGGTAATGACTTCTGCTTTACAACTGAATTAAATGCAATGTGATATTAAAAGGCTGACTATTTATGCCCACTCATGTGTGTTGATTACTAGTTATACTACTGGCCTGTTACTTTTTGAATAAATAATCGTCTTAAAAATGCTGGTAAGACAGATGTGTGTTACTGTGTAGCCCTCACACCCGTGCAGAGGGCAGCCGTCATGCGGTTTCAACGGAGCGGCTCCTCAGTGCATGATCTGTGCATGCATGGAGGAGGGGACTACCGTGTTTTGCAAATGAAACTTGCAGAGTTGTATGCACCTGAAGGTTTCATGCAGACGTAGCTGTTGACTGTAGGTGCACTGCCGTCAGAGCACAACAGGAGTGGAGTGCACCAGCTGGGCGTAAAAAAGGAGATCTTAACTCTAAGGTCTGGCTTAGCTACGTCCAATTTATGGCGCATTTCCACTACAGCGCGGAGCTCGCTTTAAGCGTGCCGTGCCCGGCCCGTTTTTGGTTGCATTTCCACTTGGCGTAGTTCCGGCTAGTGGGTACTATTTCAGTTTTTCTGGCCCCATAAAATCGAGGTTCTTTCCGGGCCAACAACCAGGCTGAGTTGGGCTGATGTAGAGAGAGAATCGCTGGCAAGGGGGCTACAACTACAACAAAATGAACATATTTGACCGTGATTTAATTGTTATACACGTTTCAAAATGATGCCGAAGTAACAACATACTGATACCGGTTAGTAAAAACCATGAATTAATGCTTTGACAAGTCTGCAGACAGACGGCAGGTGAAAACCCTTTTCAAATGCGTGGTTTCTAAATGGAGATTCTTTTTACCCCAAGAGATGTTATTGTTAACCATGCTTTGGTATATTAAACTTAGCCTGTTCTCTGTTTTATTTTTTAGCAATAGCAAGGATGACACAAAGGAGCAGGAGAAAGACTCCTGAACAGGATGCAATAGACCATATCATTCTGGGCAGAGACAAACCCTTCCTAGAGGCCAGGTTCATCAACACGTTTAAAGGTAAGCTATTTATCTCATACAGTATGTAGTATCAAAGACCGTATAGCATTGTTTCATCAATATGGTCGAACTGGGCACACAGGGAACCCTGACCTTTTAGCCATTGCTCTTAGGCCATCAGCCTCACGTATTTTCAACAATGTACGTTTTCAGGAAATGTCTTTAAAATGTGTGCTCCTCTCATTGAAAAACAACACTGTATACCAAATCAATTGTGTCCTAAACTGCCAGACACCCGCTGTGTTTAGAGATGCTTTGACTACACTTTTGGGGAGGTTTCACAGAGCCTCTCCTCAGTGGGAGGGTTTTTTGGCAGGGTTAGCAAACTACCCGGCCCTTATTATTATATCATGAAGCCTTTTTAACCATGCATATGATCATTTATTGAAATCAAATGGGTACAACAGAACTTATGATAGCACAACATTGTCTATCCTCTCAATGTAGCCTCTTAATTATGACAGTGCACAATAATGGTACTTTTAACTTTAAAATATAACATTTGTGTTGACATTTTACGTTTTATTTTGTATATGTTTATACATATGGCAACAAAGTACTATTGCTTTACAAGTATTTTCTAATATGTTGCAACATCTAATCTGAACATTAGATGGAACATGCTGATTAAAACAGTGCTCTGATTATTTACAATGAAATTCAATTTAAAATAATGTGTCACTTCATACCAGTAAATAATCGTGAACTCACCCCTGGATATAGTCAAATCACAGCTACCCTCAACCCTAGCAGTGTTGGCATCACTATGTTAAGCGTTTCAAAGTACTGTTAACCAACACCTTTTGCATATCACTGTGGAGCTTTATTGGAGAAAGGAGTGCGTGCTGATCAAACAATTTTACTCCGTATTTACCTGCAAGGCACTTTACATGTCAGAGGCTAACTTGGATGAAGCTTATGTGTGGATAGCAGTGTTAGGCATCTAACACACTCATGGCAAATATTTACAAATAATTGGGTATAGGTAAATGTTAAATGTTAATGCATTTTTTTTGCTATTGTAGGACGTGGTGTTTTTACACGGGAATATATTGCACCGTCAACTTTTGTGGTGGAGTACCGTGGAATATTGGGTGTAAGTGAAGATCTAGATGTCAAAAATAACATCTTCTTATTCGATTTCATCTGGTCTGGAATGCACTTTTGGTGAGTTTGCTGCTTATTGATTACCTCAAATGGATAATTGACCATTACCAGATTTATGTGTTTCCTAGTGACTTCTTGTATGAATTCAGTGCTTTTCTGTCATGATACATGATGTTGTATCTGGACTATTTGTCTTGCAGTATTAATGCTTCAAAAGAGGATGGAACACTTGGACGTCTTGCAAATGATAATCACAGGAATCCAAACTGCAGAGTGAAAAAAATCGTTGTCAAGGGAACCCCACACTTGTGCCTATTTGCTGTAAAGGAAATATTCCCAGAGGAGGAGATAACTTACAACTATGGGGATTCTGCTTGGCCCTGGCGCTTAAAGGTGAGGTTATGTTCTCTTTAGGACATTGCTTAACTGACAGGGAAAAAGTGTTGCATTGTTCTTCATGGTACTACCACTCAGCTCAGTTAAGCAGATTTAATTTATTTCAGCAAAAAATGTGCAGGCCTACTGTAGGGACAGCAGTCCTTGTAAGGACAGAGGATTTTAAAACCTGTTGACATGACTAGACATTAGATCATTGCCTTCATCCAGCATGTGCACACCTCCATAACTGTTAAACCTTTGCAGCACACACGTCAGATCAAACCACTATCATGGTGACAACAATGTCTTTTGTTTGTGCTACAATTTCAGGCTCCCCGGGAAGTAGCTTCTAACCCTGAGCCCGAGAGAGATCCTCCGTTGTCCCCACAAACCAAAATGGCAAGTTGTACTTCATATCACAATCACTTTCTGTGTTGGGCTGTAGAGGGAAACAATACATGTACACTGGGCCTGTGACAGTATTGTACTTTTCTTAATGCTGTGAAAGATTAGTCACATTCCAGAAACTGAAACATATTATGTGTCTCTATATTATTTAAGCCATAGTTTGTCGACTGTTATTTACTGCACCATGAAAAGATAAATGCTCAGTAAGAGTTAGTAGTCGTATTTGGAACAGAGCAGCGCTACCATGGCATTCATGAAACAAAATGAGGATGCCAACTTGTAATATGGTTAAAATTACAGTCCTACTGAGCTAATCAGCTTTCTTCCTGGGATGAGATATGCTGATGGCTGCTGCACACATAGCATGCTAACAGTCAATGTGTTAGTAGATTTTTATCAATTATTGCTCTGTGATAAATTGCTTTTAGGCCCTAACATGTTATTTAGGGGCTAATAATGTATTTTTATTTTCATTGCTGGCTAATGAATTGGATAAAGTCGTGTTAATGTTCAGATGTGTGTCCCATTGATAGATGAATGGAAATGAGTCGATAATGTTTTAAAGTCGTGCCTCTTTCACTTATTTATAGGAAGTATGTGGTGGGACACGAGAGGGTGGGACCGAACTTCATACAACTACAAACGCATCAGGGGACAAGATGGTAAGTTTCTATGCATTGTTTTTCCATACATTGTTGCGTGTCGCTGACTGGAATAGATTGAAGCTGTTTTACCAGGACTATTGTCTTGGTAAGGGGGCTCCGTTTCCCCATACTTTGGGTCACATTGAAACGGGTTAAATGTTATACTACACACAAAGATGAAGGCCGTCTGGTCACAGGGTGTCTTGTAGGGACAGCAGTCCTTGTAAGGACAGAGGATTTTAACAGGAGTTAAAAATGACAGCATTGAAAGGTTTCTGTATAATGTTATACTACACACAAAGATGAAGGCCGTCTGGTCACAGGGTGTCTTGTAGGGACAGCAGTCCTTGTAAGGACAGATGATTTACAACCTGTTGACATGACTAGACATTAGATCATTGCCTTCATCCAGCATGTGCACACCTCCATAACTGTTAAACCTTTGCAGCACACACGTCAGATCAAACCACTACCACGGTGACAACAATGTCTTTTGTTTGTGCTACAATTTCAGGCTCCCCGGGAAGTAGCTTCTAACCCTGAGCCCGAGAGAGAACAACCGTCCTCCCCACAAACCAAAATGGCAAGTTGTACTTCATAATACTCTATCACCATTGTTTTTTCACACACTGGTAAAGGGAGGAATCTTTGTCACATATATGGCAAACAAGTTGGATATCTGTCAGCTTGTTAGCGTTGATGACGCCTTGACCTAAGATACACAATTTAGGCAGGACATACTTTCAATACTACTTCAACTGCTCTTAGTCAGATGCTAATAAGAGTTTTTCAAAATGAAGAGTACAATTTGTGTTTTTTATAAAATAAGGTGTCCAAGCAGACAACCTTATTGTTTTTCATTGTCATAAGGATTATGTCCTAAAAGTATCTGGGTCACATTTCACATTTCACACTCAAACAAAATAAATATATATGTTATTTTAAGTGTGTTTATGTTCAATTTTTGATCCACAGTGTCATCATGAACTCACCAGTGCAGTTATTTCCTCTTTGGATAATTGTCATGATTGCAGAGGACCTGTCTCAAGCCTCAAATGGATTGGTTTTACGTGTAAATGTAAGTACCTGTCAAACAACACCGTTTTATTTTTTACTCTGAGATGATAAACATTTTGATAAAACAAACTTAATTTCAAATACTTAACTTAGATTCTAAATGACTTACTTTCTTCTTTGTTATATAGTGAAATGCACAGTGATTAAATGTTAAAATAATGCTCAAGAAATGTTACCAGTACATTTTTCTTGTGTAATTGTGTTTTTAGTATGTTCAACCTCATGGCACAAAACCTGCTTCATCAAGAACAACGAGTCACCGGTACGTAATGTGTTTATATAAATATCTGATTTCTTTGGATAATGAAAAAAATACAAACTTGGTGTTCCTTTATTTATTTTTTTTAAAGATGAAGGACATCTGCCTTTCCAGTAATGAGGGTTCCGTCAGTGATAAAGACTACATTCCTGAAACGGCGTCTAGCAGCGATGGATCCAGCGTCGATGAAGACTGCCCACCTGACTCTGAAGCAAATACTGATTGGGATCATCTCATTGCCACCATCAGGGATTCAAAGCCACCCCATTGTAAGACTGCACCAACTGTCTCTACAAAGAACTATGTTGAACACCAAGACACGGCTGCTACTACCTCTGACAAATTCCAACTTCATGAAGATTTCATCCCTGATATGGCATCCAGTTCTGAAACAATTGAGAGTGTTGCAAATCCCAAAGACTCTTCTTGCACCATCAAAAATTACTGTTATGTTTGCAGTAAACCTCAATCTAAGATTGCTCGTCACTTTAAGAAGCATGAGAAAGAACAACCTGAAATTGCTGAAGCATTTATGTTCCCTTAACACTCTAAAGAGAGAAAACGGTTACTAGAAAAGCTGCGAAACAAAGGTAATTACCAACATAACCAAGAGACAATGCAGAATCAAAGCGGACCACTGAAACTAAAACGAAGACCACGAAGATCAAATGTCTCACTGGATGCCAAAAAATATGTGCACTGTGTATATTGTAAAGGCATGTTTGTCCGCAAAGAACTTTGGCGCCACATGCGTAGATGTCCTTCAAAGACCGTCTCAGACACTGAAGCAACTGGTAGGGCCAAAGTCCTAGTTCTGGCTGATATTGCGGAGTCAACTTTCTCCCAAGCAATTTCTCCTGTTTTGTGGAAGATCCTTGGAAATATGAAGCAAGATGAAGTAACATCAGTTTCACGGAATGATTTCCTCATACTGCAACTGGCTCAGTCACTCTACAATAAACATGGTAATGATTCGACAACATTCGAATATATCAGACAGAAAGTCCGTGAAATGGGCAGGCTCTTAATGAGCTTGAGAAGCAAATGTTCCTTATTCAGTTTTGAAGATGCTGTAAAACCAAACAACTTTTACAAAGTTATTGAGGCAGTCAGAGATGTCGCTGGTTACGATGATACTACTACTACTGCTACCACATACCAAGTCTGGCTCTGAAATTAGGACATTCACTCAAGAAGATTGGCAGTATTATTCTATGTAGAGCCATTGCTGCAGAAGATGAATTGATGATCAAAGCATCAGAGCGTTTCACACAACTGTGCACTAAAGAATGGAATGAACTTATCTCCCACACTGCTCTTGCTACTTTGACCAAGTCGAAGTTTAACAAACCGTGTACAATACCTTTTACAAAGGATGTGCAGCTCCTCCACCAGTACCTGGAGAAGAAATCAGCTACTGCTATGGAGAACCTTCAAAAGAACGAGACTTCACAGAGTTATGCAGAACTAGCCAGAGTTACACTAGCTCAAATCATTATCTTCAACAGACGCCGTGCAGGAGAGGTCTCAAAAATGACACTTGAAGCATTCATGAAAAGAGACCAGACTGAGCTTCATGAAGACATTGCTGTTGGCCTCTCGCCATTCGAACAAAAGCTGGCCAAGCATTTCAGTAGGGTAGAAATAATGGGCAAAAGAGGAAGGAAAGTTGCCATTTTGTTAAACCCTGAAGTTGTCAGTGCCACAACACTCCTTGCTGACAAAAGAGACTTGTGTAATGTGCACAAGGACAACCCTTTCCTATTTGGAAGATCACAGTGCCCCTCCACCAGCTTCTACAGGGGACAGGACTGCATCAGGCTTTTTGCACGTCAGTGTGGTGCAAAAAATCCGGAGTATCTCAGGTCTACACAACTTCGCAAGCATGTTGCAACATTGTCCCAGATTCTTAACCTTAAGAACAATGAGCTAGACCAACTAGCCAACTTCTTGGGCCATGACATACGGGTCCATCGAGACTTTTATCGACTGCCAGAGGCAACTATTGAGATTGCAAAAATCTCAAAGCTTCTACTGGCGATGGAGAAAGGATCTTTGGCTGCATATCAAGGAAAATCTCTTGACGAGATTGAGATTGAAGGTATGTGCTCAATTTATGTATTATTATTACTACTTATGATAATATTATTATTAAAATGATAATAATACAAAGCCTTTTCAATAGATATCTTCAAATACATTTACAAAGTGCATTACAAAAACAAGATTATTTCTACAACAACATTCAGAAAAAATATAACTACACGAGGAAATTGACTAAAAGGACGGGAAATTAAAATTGGACAAATCAACTCAGGTAAATTATACATAAATATATTGATTTGTGTTTTTCAGATGAGTTGGAACCAGATCTGGAAGAACTTCAGGGGGAAAACATTGATGGAGACGAGGAAGACGATGATGATGAAGATGATGGAGACATGGAACATGATGGAGATGAGGAAAAAGATGGAGACAATGAAGAGCCAGATCCTGCACATGGAGTAAGGGGTATGTAACACAGATGTTCTTTTTCAGTATATGTGTGTAATGGTACAGATTTGGGAGAGTACCTTTTTTATAGGACAATATCTAGCAATTAAGGGCTGCCCACTGTAGAGCCATCTTGTTGCTTTATTGGCACCACAAAATCAGTGACATTTCTAGCACATTACTCTTCAGACATGAAAAAAGGTGTACAGTAATCACCTTAAAAAGGCACAACAGTTACCAAAATTAGGTCTCCTGGAGTAGGTCATATGGTGTGGTAAAGTTTAAAATCTAATTGCAATCATATAAGCCAGGGTTACTTTTTACTTGTGGTCAAACAGAAAAAATCTTTGAAATTGTCCTCCATTAAATCTGTAGACTCAGTTACTATCTCTACCATCTAAAGCTTGCCTGTTTTCTAATTATTTTCACCAGAAATGCGAGGAATAAAGAGTCCTGATGAAGTGTCCTCCAACTCTCAAGGTAATGTGTGGAAGGGCCTTAGATTGTCTTTTTGTTATTTCACTGTGTTGGGGGCATACATATAGGTTACATATACTGTGTAGGTTGTGCCTATTTTGGTTGATGAAAAAACATGTTACCATTTCTGTTATGTTACTACTCCAATGTTTCTTGGATAAAGAGACCAGTTTAATTACAGATTTTCCCCCTCCAGCTATCAATACAAATAATATTGTAGTATTTAGTATAGGCTGTTGCATTAGCTAAATCTGTTTATTTTTCATGCTAAGAAACTTCAAATATGTGAATTGCCTTGTTGATATATATAGTATATTTCAAGATTGTTTTTTTATTAGGAAAAAGAAAAAATGCGGATTTGACTCAGTATGAAGCCTACCATTCCAAAGGTAATGTAAATGTGCATGGAACATTTTAATTATTGATTTCAAAGAAAAAAGGTGCATTGAATATTATTTTTGAAATGAGATTCAAGCCCCATTTGCATTAGAAACATGTTTTTACAGTCTGGCAGCTCTAAATTCTAACATGACACATGCCATGGTGGCACAAATTTAAATGAATGAATGATAAACTGCAGCCTTCTCTGTCAGAGATGTTTGTTTTGTTTTTTTATATATATATATATATATATAAAAAAACAGGAATTATCATAAACCAAACAAGGCAAGAAATACAAATAGCTGAAAGAGGCCAGAGCACAAAAATCCAATCTGCTCGTATACAAATAACAGTGTGAATGGCCCAGGTTTTGGATGATTTGCCTGCAGTCGGAGCAAATGTTATTGTCTCGTCAGATTTGAAATGGTCAGACACCAAAATAAAGTTAAACTAGGTGAAGTTTAAGTTTTGCTTTTTTTCCTAGGAAAAAGAAAAAAGATTAATCCAATCCAGGAAGAGGCCATGAGTTCAGAAGGTATATTGAGATGCCAGTAGGATACATTTTGACTGTAAACAATAAGTTTTTTTAGCAACATTTTAAGAGTTTGTTCTCATTGATAATTGTAAACATGTACAAAAAAAACAAACTGATAGCACCATAGAGAAGAATAAGCTTATCTAAAAACTATTATTTTACATCAACATTGATTCTTTTTTTACAGGGTCCAGTTCAGTTACAGCTTTTGTTCTGTTTATATATTTTGAATAACATAAATTCAATTGGCTTTCAAAATTAAGTTCCCCACAAATAACTTTGAGTCTGTATAAGCTATTCTAATAAAAGCATTTCTGGTTTACTTTAGGAAAAACAAATCAGTTGGACACCCAGGGTGAGGTCACCAGCTCCAAAGGTAGGACTCCACATATTCATTACTTTATTTTCAAGGGGCTTATCCTTTAAGGGTGCAGTTACAACCCAAAAAGGATCCAATTTAATATACTACATGTAATATGTTTCTGGTTTCACCAATGATGTAAGTTATGTTGGTGTTTCTTCATTTAAAATCTGATCTGCTCTTGTCATTTTGACTAGCCACTTCTGATTAATTAAACCAATAATTAAAGCAGTGTAATGTTGTAAATTGATAAATGTCGCATTTATAAAGAAGAGTAAAAATGTTTCACTAAACAACTCTAAATACACCTTTTTATTGCCACTTCAACCTCTTCTCATACCCACTGTACCTGGATAGCTAGTCAAGAGAACACGGTAGTAACCCCCTTCCTAATTAACAATGTACCCCATGTAATTTTTATATATTTTTTATATATATATATAGCAATTACAAAGATTGAAGTCCAATGTTTTTCTGTACCTAAAGGCATCAGAATCTGAGTATCAGATTCAATTTGGGTTTATAGCCGAGCAAATGTACACCTCCAAATAATTTATAAACATTGAAAACAAGCTTGGTTAATACTACTCATCTGTCTAATATTCACTTTTGAGGCAAAACGTATAAATTATGTCAGTATATTCTTTCTTTAGAATTTGAAATATCGGGCCGCAGGTGGCACAGTGGTTAGTGTGCATGAAGGCGGTCTCCGCTGCCTAGTAGGTGGGCTCGAATCCCAAGCCCTTGAAGCTTACAGGCAATGTCTTCTCCGTCTCCCCACTTCACAGTGGTCAAAAAAATCTTAAAATAATTCAAAATATCTGCAAATTAAAGTCCTTGTCATTTTGGGCACTCAACTGGTACAGAAATCCTGTAAAACAAAATATGCATTTGCAGGCCACACAACAGCAGCATCTTAGGGAGATCACTCCTTTGTCATTGGTGAGAGATGTAGGGGCTCTTTCACCTCAGCTAAAACTGCAAGTGATTTAGACTGTTGTCAACCAACAGAGAGCTGGTGTTGGTCTAATATGCAAATCTTGTAGATCAAACTGTCCAGCTCCCTTTATTACAACCAGTCTAACCATACACAAAAGCATTCTTGATGTTAGAGACCTGTTCAATCTGGGTGGTTCACAAATTCGCCTGATTTGCGTGTGCATGTATAAGTCATATATATACACTATATTAGATGGTTAGTGTGTGTATACAAAGAATTGCATAATTATACCAGATGTCCTATAACTAAGGTCTTGTTAGGTTAGTGTGTGTGTATAAAATGTCCAGTTATACCAGATGTCCTTATAACTAAGGTCTTGTTAGGTTAGTGTGTGTGTATAAAATGTCCAGTTATACCAGATGTCCTTATAACTAAGGTCTTGTTAGGTTAGTGTGTGTGTATAAAATGCCCAGTTATACCAGATGTCCTTATAACTAAGGTCTTGTTAGGTTAGTGTTTGTGTAAACAATGCCTAGTTATACCAGATTTCCTCATAACTTGGGTTTTGTTGTAAGAATTATAACCATTATACCTTTTGAGCTCATCATAACAATGGCCTCTGTGTTTGTGTGTGTGCATAGGTGAACTCCAAATAGTGGTGCAGGAATGAGTCCTAAAACCAGAAAGTGAGTCAGCATTTCACCACTTCCTGTTCCCTCGTCTCAGAGCCAATGGGATCTCTCCATAGGATTTTGGAAAATAGCTGGAAATAAGGTCTGTGGTTGAGACGCATTGAAGAGATGGATCACGTTTTGTTCTAGGACATTAAATCCATCAGCAGTGACCACACTGGTGATTTCTGAAGAGTTGATGTGTCTGAAAAACGATGGTTGTTACTAAGTGGCTGAATAGGACTACAGAAGTTGTGGAGGACGTTGTACGTCATTCAGAGGTGGGAGTAAGTCCTACATGTGCAAGTCATGAGCAAGTCTCAAGTCTTGACCTACAAGTATCAAGCAAGTCCCAAGTCACTGTGGTGAGAGTCAAGCAAGTCAAGTCAAGTCATTGCTCAGGTCAAGCAAGTCAAGTCATACGAAATTCTGATGAATAAGCCCAGTTTCCCCATTTAAATCAGTTAAAAGACAGTGGTTATGAAAATGGATTTAACCCACACAATGATCTTCATTACATACACAGTTAATCATTTGAAATCTAATTTAGACCGATGACAATCATATTAGATTAATATTAACCCTAGAACTGCAGACAATATAGCTAGGACTCAATCAAAAAGTCTGTTCAAAAAGGCAGAATTCCAGGTAAGAAAATCATATATGGCATTTGCCATTACACATATTTAATTTAAATTTCTGTTAACACAAGAACCGCCAACAGCATCAGCACCTACATATATATCATTTCAAATCATTTAATTTGTTCCTCTTCATAATTTCCTTATAAACTAAGTAGGACGATTTAAAACTCAGTTAATTGGGTTAATTTAGAAATTGCTTCAGTTTATCATCATAACAGATCAAAAAGTTCAGATTCATTTTACAATAAATCAAGAAATGATGCACTTCTACAAACAAAAACAACATAATTAAAACATTTAAACAAACTACTAAAAGTAGATGAACTACATTATTCAACAGTTTACAGTAACTTCTGATAATAACACAGGGGAAATAAACGAGGCATCTCTTTTCCTCTCTCTCTCTCTCCCCCTCCTGACAGCCCGTCAGTATCAGGGTTAGTACAAATGAATCCCTTGGCGGTTCTAGTGTTCATTTACCGTTTTGTCTTCTCTTTGCAATGCTTAATCGATTTGAAACCAAGTCTAACGTAGCTTAAACTTAACGTTAGCTTTCTAGCTAACACAACACATTCACGCACCTTTCTCTGTGGGTTTTTTTGTAGTGACGAATGAAGTTGGATGTTGTGGTGGTCGTGTCACTGATCTTTATGCTGCAGACCCTGCATACCGCTGTTCTCTTCTTATTAGCGTCATCGACAACATAATCCTTGAATCCAAACTTCACTATTTTTGGAGTAACGCTAGCCGCTGCCATGTTAACTGACGCTCCTGCAGTCTAGTGGGTTGCCAGGTTTGCGCACACGGCGCTATAATCACCCAATCACATTTTTCGAAAAAACTAAACGTAATATCTCACTACAAAAACAAACGCAAATATTTAATTTTAAACAGACAAGTCCTTTCAAGTCATCCGTCTCAAGCTTAAGTCAAGTCTCAAGTCATGAATACCTGTTAAGCATATTTGTATATGAACAAAGTCATGTTTCAGTTCATGTGTATGTGTCACAAACGAGC